TTGTCCCCGGCTGACGGGCGGGGAAGGCCGGCCGTCTGGTCGCTGTTGTCCACAGTGTCAGGCCGAGGGGCAGGATGAGCCAGGCACGGCTCGCCTGTCTGGAGGCTTACTGCGGGGCCAGCCCTGGGCTAGGGTCTCACAGGCCCTCCCATTGGCACATCTGAAGCGCACCCCCCGCGCTTGTCTCAGCACCCGCGCTTTTCTGTCCAGGCGTTTTGCCCTTCTGTGATGCCACTGTGGCTGCCCCCCAGGCTGCAGACTTCCTGAAGGCAGGACCTGGCCGACTCTGCTCACCCGTGTCTCCCGGGGCCTGGATGACACGTGTTCAGTGTGTCTGAGAGGCACGCAACCTAGTAGCTGAGAGACTCTTGGGGTTCAAACCTCCGCCCTGCAGCACGCACACCACATGACGATGGGCGAGCCACTGGCCTCTCTGTGCCCCTCCGTGCTCCCACCCTCTGCCAGGGGCTGTGCTGAGGGCAGTGGGGCTGACAAGCAGTGCAGAGCTCTGTGCTCGGTTGTGCCAAGAAGCTGGCAAGTGGTGGTGGTGAGGGGTGAGGTCTCACCATCACCTCTGACCTGGTGCCTACCTGGGGAGCCGGGTGTCCCAAGCAGAAGCCCTGATGCGTGAAAGAACCAGGCCAGCCGAGGGAGGGAGGAGACCACAGCGGATCGTGGCCAGGCTTGGCCTCAGATGTCCCTCTCAGCCCCTGAAAAGATCCGGTTTTCAACCCTTGGGCAGAGGGGCATCATGGACAATATTTAGACAGAGAAGAGCGCTGGTTGGATTTATGTTGGGAGAGGAGAGTGTGGAGGTGATGGTACAGGGCTGGGTGGGAGACAGGCCAGGAACCAGAGCTGCGACCGTGATGACGGAGCTGGGCACCTCTGAGACACATTGAGCAGCCGGGCCCGTGGGGACCTGGTGATGGAACGTGCAGGATGGTGGGGAGGCGGGTCTGGGATGCTCCCCCCAGGCTGACCTGGCAGGAGGCAGTCAGGGGATGGGCACCCACAGTGGTGACCACAGGCCCCCTGAGCCCCACAGAAGTGGCCTCCTGCGAAGCAAGGCTTCCCCCATGGCGGAGAGCGTGGGCTCCCCAGAAACTCAGGGTGCCCCCGGGTCGAGCAGTCCCATGGTCATGGGACTCAGCAGTGACCTGCCACTGCTCTTAGCTGACGCACTGCACATTGTCAGGCCAAAAAGTCCCATCTCCTGTGTGGGAGGCTGTCTTCTTCCAGCTTCACAGATGAGGAAACCAAGACTCTGAGGCTCAGATCCTTGCCCGGAGTCTCCAAGTTCCAAGGTGAGGCCAGGCTTGTCCCACTGCAAAGCTGTGCCACCACTCTGACTGTGCCGGCACCAGCCCCTCACAGAGAGGACAGACCGCTGAGCAGACAGACAGATGCCCCAAGATCCCCAACCTCCACCTGCCTGCCTGGACGACAGCAGGTGATTCATAGGGCCCGGCTTCCTCAGGAGCTGGGGGACAAGGGTAGGATCACCCCAGGGCCTCCAAAGGTCACGGCCAACAGCAGAGAGCTCGGGAAGTCAGCTGTCATTCTTTTGGAACTAGTAACCATTGTCAGTGTTTTTATTCCGCCTTCTTAAAATAGCCAGCTGAGTTACTTCTGTGGTTAAAACCAAAAACAAAACACACATCGCCAGATTCCTGTGGGTTTAAATTTCTGCCTTTAATGAAGCAGAACCTTGGACCTTTTTTTCTTTTCTTTTTTTTTTCTTTTTTCTTTAATCTTTATTATTATATTTTTTAATCTTCTGGTCAAGCTGCTCAGCATCTGGGATCTTAGTTCCCTGACCAGGAATAGAACCCGCGCCCCCTGCATTGGCAGCACAGAGTCTTAACCATGGGACCACCCCACCAGGGAAGTCTCTGGACATCTTTACTGAAGAAGTCCTAGAACTGTCCCAGCCCTGACAGGAGGGGTCTGGGCACACCTCCCTTCTGCTGGAATTGCCCAGATGTCTCTTGTCTCCCTTCTGCCTCTTCCTCGCCTCCTACCTGCTCAGACTGACTGCAGCGCCCCCTTTACTCCAAACCCCCTACAAAAAGCTCCATCCTCCGAATGGCTCCGCCCATGGCTGGCACTCGGGACTAAAGAGCTTGGCCCTGTGCTCAGGTTGGCGTCAGACTCGAGATCCAGGGGTCCCGCTGCACCCACCCTGGTTCCTTAGGATGGCTTTCTCTCTCTCATAAATGTCCCATCTGCCCCCTCAACATCCGCTTATCTTTCCCAAATGATCATAATCCCTTCTGAGACTTTGCCACTCTCCGCCCCCAGGAGGAGGGAGGTGCTGTGGTTTTCAGCAGTCCCTGGGGGAGGTCATAGGGAGAAACCAATGGAGGGACCACTGAGGGCTGCTGGTGGAGCCAGGGTCCGGAAGGAGGGGGCAGATGGCCTGAGTGGTCTGGGCGCATCCTGCTGGAAAACCAGTCCCTGGCGCCCGATGGGGGGTAGGGCAGTGGCAGCCATAACCACCCTCCCTCAGCACCGTGCGACCTCTCCATGTCTCAGCTTCCCCATTAGTTAGACGAGGGCAGTAGTGACCACGTTATGGGTGCCAGGGCCCGGTCACCTTCTTTATGTAAACAGCTGGGTGTTACCTAGCAATATAACTTGGGAAGTGAAAATATCACCACTGTGGAAGAGCATTGTGGGTCCAGCAGGGGGCTAAGGGACCTTTGAAGGATTTGGGACTGGAAGGACACAATCACTTTCAAGTTCCAGAAGGTTCACTCTGGGTTAGCATGGAGGATGGGTGAGGGGAGCGAGGTGGGGGGATCCGAGGCAGGCTCGGCGAGGGTGGGGAGGTGGCCTGGCTGGCAGAGAGCAGGGCAGGGAAGGGAGGGGCTGGGATGGAGAGCGCATCCAGGGCTGGAGCTGGCAGAACTCGGTGGATCATTGGAGGCAGTCAGGACTTGGGTTGATGAGTCCTTCCCGTCGGGGGACTGGGGGTCACTGAGATGTGGCTTCTGAAGGAGGTGCTGTTCTGCGTGGTTGATCAGCCACTGGCCCTCCCCTGCCTGGGGGTCACTTGTCAGCTCTTTTGGTTCTTCATATGTGGTTCAGTAGGCGTGTAAGTCCCAGGGGTAGGGAGTGTGGCCCAGAGAAGCCACACCCAGGACATACTTGCGGGATGAGCAAGTCCCTCTTCCACCCTTTTAAAGGAAGCCCTTTGTCATCCCCTCCCACAGCCCTAGCCCAGGAGCCAAGCAACCTGCCTGCTGCCAGGTCCATACCTGGATGCCCAGCTGCCTGGCCCATGTCCTGAGCTACCCAGGCCTCCATCTAGCCTGCAGGACCCAAGGGGGCCCCAGGGTGAAGCTGAAGTCAGGCCAGTTTCCAAACGAAGAGCATGGAAGCCACTGTTCTAGGGATCTGACTATGCCAGCCCAGCCCAGGCTCTGCCCACAGGATAGGACTGCCTGCTGGCTGGAGGAGAGCCCTGACCAGTCTCACAGAGCCTACTCATCTGTCCCGAGAGCTCAGCCTCTTTGAGCACCACAAGGCAGGGACCATGTCCCTCTGTCCACATTGCATCCCTGCTGCCTAGAGCAGGCCTGGCATGTCACCCCATGAGCAGGGTGGTGCGGGAACCTCCCCTGTACCATCGTGTGTAATAAGCTCTGGGTGCCTAGTCCATCGGGGCTCCTGGGAGACACCCCACTGCGCAGTGCCCGGGGGTGCACCGAGGCTACAGGCAGGGGTGCTCCTGGCCTGGAGCAGGGCTCTCAAGCTGAGAACTCAGCCATGACGGGGGATCTTGACTAGTGTCCTAACCACTGATCCAACCAGTGGTTAACACTCGTGCGCGTGCTTGACAGACGCACAGGTATAACGGGCAGGGCAGACTCTCGCCTGAGACGAGCAGGATATGTGCGCTCTGCTGCAGCTTCTTTTACTTTATTATTTTTTTTTTTTGCAGCTTCTTTTAAAGCTAGGTCTGTGTGTGGATGGAACCTAGAAGGTACAAGGTCAGAGAAAACAGGCAGTGTGACACAAGGTTGGCGCTTCACTCTTGAAGAATGTTTTTGAACATCCTAGGATTTTCCCTTCCTGTTCGCTGTCCACCCAGCACCTCTCACACTAGAGCACACTTGGCAGATCTTACAGCAAAGGCCCTCTAAACACGGCCTCACTGGGCCTGGAGAATCTCGTAGCCGACTACCTGGAGACCTCACCCTAAGATCCAGACAGACAGGGTGGTTGTATACCTTTGTGAATATGCTAAATGCCACTGAAATGGTGAATTTTATTTTGTGCGACTTTTGCCTCAATTTAAAAAAAAAGAAAAAGACCCATCAGCACTCACGAGCACCCATTTGGCACCAAGTACCTGTCGATGCTGGTTTGCATTACCAGATTCCCCTGGGCGGTTCTGCAGGGCAGCTCAGTGTCCACCTGTCTGTAGATGAGCTGACTCAAAGGCGGAGGCCATGGCCAGGCCTTTTGGTAACAGAGTCAGGATTTAAAACCCCGTGTCCTTGGCTCTGGAAGTAAAGAACATCGCTGGGAGATTTGAGAGGAAACTGAGAGAGGAAGAGGGAGCTCTGGGGGCAGGGGAGGCAGGTAGATTGACTCTCCATTCGATGACTTTTTGGAACTTTTTACACCGTGAACCTAAGAAGGGTTTCCAAGTCCAAAGATAATTAAAAAGTCAAGAAAGAACACTTATTTACAAGCATAAAACCAAAGCCTGTCTCTATATTGTCATGTCAAAAACAAGCAGGCTGAGGCCAGGCCTCTGAATCCATCTGCTGCCCATGTGGTAGACTCAACCGGCCGGCCGTCCTGGCCTCGCATGGCTGCTATAGGAATTAAGAGACGAAATGGGACGATGAAGGTGACAACATATACATGGTGCTGGCCCACCTCGGTGCCCAGAGAGCAGGCGCTGTCCTCCCCACTCCCGCTGTCTGAGTTTGTCTATCCAGGACCCCCGCACACCTCTGTGACCTGTGATTTCTTGTCCTCAGAGAAAGCCACGGATGGCTCCCTGCAGAGCGAGGACTGGGCGCTCAACATGGAGATCTGTGACATCATCAATGAGACCGAGGAAGGGTGAGGACCGTGGGGGGAGAGGGAGACAGGAGGGGCGGCCACTGCAGCTCATCTTAAACATTTCAGAACCGTGATCTAGTCTGACCATCTCATCGGGTGGGTGAGAGGCCCAGAGATGCCGGGTGTGCAGCCGGCCAGCTGGCCCCTGGGTGCTGCCCACCCAGTGGCCGCAGCACAGCCAACTTGCTCTTGCAGGGACATCACCTGCGTGGCATCTTCACAGGACAAAGCCAGCCAGAGGCTCTTAGAATATGGAGGTGGCCCCGAGCCCCCTCTGCATGCCATGGGCGGGACTGTACATCAGGGATGCCTAGCTTCCCCTGTGATCAGGGACAGACTTTTGTTTCCTTAAGATCTGAAAGCAGCACGGAAGGTCGGGATCACAGGGGGGCCAGTGAGTGTGCAGCGGAACCGAGAGAGGCTGGGCAGAGTTAGTGTTTCTGGAGCGTGGGGCACGGCCTCCTGCTCAGGGTCTGGGCGTCCCAGTGAAGCACGTGGTGTGGGGGAGGTGTCGTGGTCCCCGCTCCTGGGCTCTGACTAGCGTTGCTCACGGGCGTGTGACCTTTGGGCAAATCACTGTATACCTCCCCAGGTCTTTGTCTTCAGAGACAAAGCTCTTTTCTGTCCAAGGCCCTGAGGGGAACAGAGAAGGGGACAGGGTTACCGTCCTCAGGAAAAACCAGGGATGAGGTGGGAGGGGTGTGATGACCACCACCGGAGGAGCTACCAGAGGAGGCCTCTGTCTGGAAAATGAGGCTTGGCAGTTGTAGCAGGCTCTCAGCACTCCCCCCTGTTTCTCCCTGCGGTGGTCCAGTTGCCCTGTGAGGGCTCCCTCACCATGTGGAGGGAGCAGATGGGCAGCACCCACCTCGGAGCCAAGAAGGCTGTGGGCGTCTGCGGCACACGGTCAGGGCCAGTCAGGAGCGCTCAGTGGCTGCCAGAGCCTTCCACTTCCACGGCCACGGGCCCTGGGCTCGCCAAGGTGCTGGGAGGGGACACACCCGCCTGCATCTGGACTCCTCCAAGTGTGGAGGAGAGGGGTGGGCAGGTGGCGGGTCTACCAAGAGAAAGGTCTGAGGCAGAAAACCTCACAGAGCCCGGTGGTGAATTTTGGGGCTGGAGATCACTGCCATGTCCTTAGAGAAGCAAGTCCCCATCTCGCAGTAGACATTGGCGGAACTGGGGTCATATTTGTTCAGCTGCTGTTGATGTGAGTACCTCCTGAGTTCCAGGCTCTGCGCAAGGCCCAGGGGATCCAGCAGTGAGCGGGGCAGATGTGACCCTTGACCTCACTGAGCTTGTCATCTAAGCCTTTGTCTCTTGTCTGTTGCCACCTTGGGTTGCGGCCTTCTTGTCATCCCCTTTGTGCCCTGGCGGGGAACTAAACCCGCGGGCCCGTAGACTAGGACTAGACCCGCAGGCCCGTAACCGCAGGACCCGGGCCAGAGCTGCTGGTTCCCGGCGCTGCGCCCCTTCTCTGCTCACTCGATAAGAAGTGGAAACTCGCCCCTTCAGAGCGCTGACGTGGCCACAGGTGAGCGGCCAAGCCAGGAACAGAAACCAGCTTCTCCCAGGCTGGAGCCCCAAGGGCGGCTGAGGAGCTGCCCCAGGGCTTTGGGTTGGAAACTGCCCTCACACCCCAGGGGCAGGGTCCCTCCCCGGCCGGGGCGTGTGGTCCTTCACCCCGGGTCACCTATGTCACCACCGCCCCCCACGCAGGTCTGTTCCCGGGAAGCCTTGGCTGCCCCCTTCTCTCCTGTCAGGGAGCCCCCGTCAGGGTTCCCAACTCTCCTACGTTGCGTTTGGTGGATCTGGCACTGACAGCCCCCTCCCGCCCTCGCCAGCCTAGAAGTGTTGCTTGAGCTCCTGCAGCACGCCGGGCTCTGGGAAGGCAGTGTCAGAGGAGAATGCCGTGCCCACCCCCGGCCTCTAGGGGGCGTCCTCTCTAGCCAGGCAGCACCCGGGGGCAAATGCAGCTGGGAGATGAGGACTGGGAAAGGGTCATGGATCAGCAGGATTTCAGCTGGGCTTTTTTTACTCAGTAGGTGTGCAAGCTGTGGGCCACAGAGGCTTTTAGGTCGGAGCAGCCCAGGCAGTGTGGATCTCCCCTGCGCAGGGCTGAGGGACAGAGACACAGGGGTGAGGCGTGGGGACAGCTGTGGGGTTGCAGGTGGAGCAGAGAGAGCAGCTGCCATGCTCCCCTCCCCACTGTGACCACAGGCCTCGCCAGCCCCTCCCTCACCTGCCCCACACGTGGTGGCCTTGCATCTCCTCCCCGCTTGGGCCTGGTCCAGACTGCTGCCTCTACTACCTGAACCACTTCCCCCACTCCTTGCAGCTGACACCATCCCACCCTTCACGCTCAGCTGCAGGCCTCGGAGAAGGAGGAGGCTTCCCTGGCTCCCACACCCACCCACCCCCCGCCCCCTGGGTAAATGAGAGCCGTTCCCATCTCCCAGCTCCTCCTGATGTAGGCACGCAGCCTCCCTGTTGGATAAGGAGGTTGTGATCCTCCACCCATCCTTCCTTTTGTCCGTCTGCCCAGTCCCAAAGATGCCTTCCGAGCCGTGAAGAAGAGAATCGTGGGGAACAAGAACTTCCACGAGGTGATGTTAGCTCTCACGGTGAGTGCCCCATCCCTCCATCCATGGGGGACCACACTCCACCAGGGGCCTGGCGGGACTCCCAGCCATCCTGGGGCCCCTCTTCCAGGTGGTGGCAGTTTAGTCACTAAGTCATGCCCAGCTCTTATGACCCCATGCACTGTAGCCTGCCAGGCTCCTCTGTCCGTGGAATTCTCCAGGCAAGAATACTAGAGTGGGCTGCCATTTCCTTCTCCAAGGGATTTTCCCAACCCAGGAATTAAACCCAGGTTCCCTGTACTGCAGGCAGATTTTTTACTGGCCAAGCTATGGGGCTGTGGGCAAAGCACTGGCCTGTCTACACAGCTGGCCAACACGGAGTGACAAGAGAGGCTATTTGGAAAAGCTCTCTCCAGCCTGCTGGTGTGGGGAACAGACACAGCAGGGCCCTGGAGGGCCCATCGTGGAGCACATGGGCAGAGGGCCTGCCCGGTGACACAGAAGCTCAGTGCACACAGGCCTCTGAGGGGCAGTGCCCAAGCTGAGTTCCCATTGACACTTGGACTAATTGGCCCTGAAAAATGAACATAATGCAAGTGTCAGAGGCCAAGGCCAGTCCTTGCCCACAGTAGGGCAGGACAGACATGAGCTGGCAGCCTGGCAGTCAGGATGGGTTTGGCTGGGGAGTGGGGTTGGGAGGGCGCTGTCTCTGCCTCCCCCAAGCAGTACTTACATCTGGATTAATCTACTAAACTGAAAGTCAGAGGCAGCTCCTGCCAGGAAGTGGGGGCAGGAGTGGGGAGGGAAGTTGAACACCTTTTTCCCAGGCCACAGGGTCACCATTTCAGTGAAAGTTCTCTGCTTTCCACCTGGAGAGCCACCTCCCTCTAGATTGTGTTCAGCTCAGAGACGGCCTCAAGACAGGATTCTGTGGGCACCAAGGCCACTCAGCCTGGGACCTCCAGCCAGTACTCAGCCCTCTGCCCACCCCAGGCTCACCCCCAAGCCACCCAGCCCCTGAATCCAACATCGTCCCTGCTCCTCCATGTTCTGGGTCTCACTTTAGAAAACCGCACCCTCTGCTGGGTCTCTATGCTGGGGCATGGGTTGGGGGTGAGGGTGGGGTCCTGGGTGCTCCCCCTCCTCTGCCGGGTGCTCATGGGCACCACACGGCATCCAGGTCTTGGAAACCTGCGTCAAGAACTGTGGGCACCGCTTCCACGTGCTGGTGGCCAGCCAGGACTTTGTGGAGGGTGTGCTAGTGAGGACCATCCTGCCCAAAAACAACCCGCCCACCATCGTGCACGACAAGGTGCTTACCCTCATTCAGGTGAGTGCGGGCAGCCCGGGGCAGGTCGGGGGAAGGCGCCCCCCTCAGTGCTGCTGCTTGTCTGTCCACTTCGGTTTCTCTCACTGGGGCTGTCTTGCTCATCTGCAGACAGGACCTCTGAATGAGGGAGCCTGGTGGGCAGAGGCCTGGCTGCCCGGATGATGCTGCCAAAGGACCAGCAAGTCCAGAAGGGAATTTCTGCTCCCTGGGGGTGGCAGGCAGGCTTGCAGAGGAGCCACTGAGCAGTGGTTGTCAACCCTGTCCCTTTGTCCCCTCAGTCCTGGGCTGACGCGTTCCGCAGCTCGCCCGACTTGACTGGTGTGGTGGCTGTCTACGAGGATCTGCAGAGGAAGGGCCTGGAGTTCCCCATGACTGACCTGGACATGCTGTCGCCCATCCACACGCCCCAGAGGGTGAGGGGCAATGGCAGGGGTGGCGGGGGTCACCCCAGGGGGGTTCTGCGACTGTTTCCTGGGGGGCCCTGACCTTCCAGCCTTGCTGATTCAGCCTGTTGCCTTCTAGACCGTGTTCAACTCAGAGACACAGTCAGGACAGAATTCCATGGGCACTGACACCAGCCATCGAGGGGACTCCAACCAACACACCACACCCCTGCCCACCTCGGCCCTACTCCCCAGCGACACACCCATAACACCGACCCCTGAGCAGGTAATCAAACCTGGCCATGCAGGTCAGGCCGTAGGCCCTGCACCTCCCTGCACATTAGGGAGGGGGCCCTGTCAGTGTGGAAGTACTCCACCCAGTCCTCAGGCAGCCCCACAGGGGCTCACTATTTGGGAGATGAGGCTCAGAGAGGTCAATTAACTTGCCCAGAGCCACACAGCCCAATGAAGACAGGGCCAGGATTCAAGCCCAAGTCTGTGACTCCAGGCAGACTCTGCCCTGCACCCAGGCCCCTCTCCAGACTGTACCCTTTGTGGAGCCTTATGGGCAATGCCAGGAAGAGGAAAGACTCAGCAGACAGCCCCTCATCCACCGCAGCTCCATTCCCTGCTAGGGTTTGCTCAGGTGCTCACATAAGATTTCATTTGAATAGAGGTTCTCACTAAGATAATGGTTGTCAAACATCTGCACAGAAAAATGTTAAACCCTTATCTCACACCATGATACTTCCCATCAAGCCCTAAATTGGGGTTGTGTGTAGCGTAAGATCCTGGAGGCCAGTCCTGGGCAGGGTTTTCTGGCGCCCCACGAGTAACTTTGCAGGACTTCCTTCTTCAGACCATGCCGCTTGTCCCTGCTGCCCCTGAGGCCAGCGCCATTGGTTCTGTCCTGTGAGGGACATCCACAGCCATGTCCAGCAGCTCTGGGTGTTTGGTCAGTTTAGTTGTGGATGGGAGTAGGTCATGGCCTGTGCACCGTGGGTATCACTTCTGAGGTGTTTTACAAATGTCTACAGTATTGTTTAGCCTCAGAAACAAATAAGCTTATCAATAGCCTTCACACCCAAACCTATTTAATTCTGTACTTCTATCAAGTTATGAAGTCAATCCCCAGAGTTACAAATATTACTAGAAAAGTTTTCCTAATAAATAATAGGCCCAATAATTAAATGTGCATAAAAGTTTTAAAATCACCCTGTGATCCAAAACTGACCTCAGTTCAGTTCGGTCGCTCAGTCATGTCCGACTCTTTGCGACCCCATGGACTGCAGCACACCAGGCCTCCCTGTCCATCACCAACTCCCGGAGTCCACTCAGACTCATGTCCATTGAGTCAGTGATGCTATCCAACCATCCCATCCTCTGTCGTCCCCTTCTCCTCCTGCCTTCAGTCTTTCCCAGCATCAGGGTCTTTTCAAATGAGTTAATTCTTCGCATCAGGTGGCCAAAGTAATGGCATTTGAGCTTCAGCATCAATCCTTCTAATGAATATTCAGGACTGATTTCCTTTCGGATGGACTGGTTGGATCTCCTTGCAGTCCAAGAGACTCTCAGGAGTCTTCTCCAACACCACAGTTCAACTCAGCTTTCTTTATAGTCCAACTGTCACATCCATACATGACCACTGGAAAAACCATAGCCTCAACTAGACGGACCTTTGTTGGCAAAGTAATATCTCTGCTTTTTAATATGCTGTCTAGGTTGGTCATAACTTTTCTTCTAAGGAGCAAGCATCTTTTAATTTCATGGCTGCAGTCACCATTTGCAGTGATTTTGGAGCCCCAAAAAATAAAGTCAGCCACTGTTTCCCCATCTATTTGCCATGAAGTGATGGGACCAGATGCCATGATCTTAGTTTTCTGAATGTTGAGCTTTAAGCCAACTTTTTCACTCTCCTCTTTCACTTTCATCAAGAGGCTCTTTAGTTCTTCTTTGCTTTCTGCCATATGGATGGTATCATCTGCTTATCTGAGGTTATTGATATTTCTCCCAGCAATCTTGATTCTACCTTGTGCTTCATCCAGCCCATCATTTCTCATGATGTACTCTGCATATAAGTTAAATAAGCAGGGTGACAAAACTGATCTTGCCTGGTTATAATTTTAACCAGTTTGCCTGTAGTCTGGCCTCTGTGTAGATTAAGACTGATTATGTCCAGTGGAAGAAGGTCTTTGCTAAACAAGACTGAGTAGTCTATTTAATTTCAGAAGGCCCTTCAGTCTTTTGGGACATGTTGATGTAACTCCAAGACTCCTTGTAATTAGGTCCCATCTGACCCAGACATACAGGGTTTGTGATCAGTCGTTTTTCCACTCGCTTCTACCAAGAGCCTTCATTAAACAGGCCAGATGTACCAAACATTTCACAGGTCTGGAAGGTGCTGGCAGACTGCTGTAGACTGTGTCTGCGGGCCCACTTCTTCATCTGTAATGGGTGGGAGTAGTGATACCTGTCTCATGAGATGTGGTCAGGGTTAACTAGCAACATACGATAAATGCTTATCACTTAGAGGTGATCAGAATGGCAACTGCCTTCACAGGCACCGTGAATTTATATGATAACACTTGTATTCTGAAATCAACTGGGTCACCCAATTAAGAATACATCCAGCATTTCCCAAAATGTAGGCCACTAAATCTTAGACTCATGAGACAGCCCCTGATCAAAGGGTTCACAAACCAGGTCATGTTTGGCAACATCCACAAGGGTCCCTTCCTGGACATTCACAGTGTCCACGTTGTCCATGAGGACACGAGACACCCTGCAGAGCCCACGGTGTGAGATGCTCCACCAGGGCCCTTCCATCACCTCACCTGGGTGCTGAGACTCTGCGACTCAATGTGCAGCTGTTTCCCAAGCCAGGACTGGGACCCTGATCGTTGAGAATCTTCTCACGTGCATATTCAGGTGGGGGGTGGCACTGGGACTTAACACTCCGTAGAATTTGGGACACCAGAACAGGCCGGAGCAAGACAGAACCCCGTCCTAGGAGGACGGCCTCCCTCCTCTCCCCTCGGGGGAATTGCCCTTCAGGGCCTTGCTAGGCGCTGGCACCCATGAGATGCTGGAGCACTCAGCTTCTTTCCTCCTGGCCTCTCCCTGCTCCGGGCACCTCGGCGTGGAGATGGTAACGGTTGGTAGCACCTCTGTAAGCGGGTTGGTGGGGGTGGGAACAAGCCCCCCTCAGGCCTCCTGGCACAAGGCTGTGGCCCAGGAGCCTGGAGAACGTGTCAGCAGGTTGGGCTAATGGTGCCAGGCTCTGGGAGGGGCAGCAGCTCCGGACCCTAGCCTCACTCAGCAAGACCGACCGTGTGTTCCAGATTGGGAAGCTTCGCAGCGAGCTGGAGATGGTGAGCGGAAATGTGAGGGTGATGTCAGAGATGCTGACGGAGCTGGTGCCCACCCAGACAGAGCCAGCGGACCTGGAGCTACTACAGGTGAGTGGTGGGCTTAGCCTCCCCGCTCCTCACCCGCAAGGCAGTTTCCATGGTGACTCTGGGCTCCTGGGTCACAGTGGGAGAGGTTAAAACCAGGGCCTTCGGGCTCCATCAGATTGGAACTCAGCTTCTACCACTTGATGGTGCGAACAGTAAAGCCCCTGTTGTCTCAGTTTCCTCATATGTAAGATTGCTTTTATGGCACCCATTTGGCGTGAGAATTAAATAAGGCTTTGCATGTAAACCCCGCTTCCTATGCCTGGTTCCAAATAGCTCCCAAATAGTGTCTTAAGGAAGGCTGGAAGGTGAGGTTTCCATCCATCAGAAGAGGAAGCCTAGCAGGCAGGCGTGAGCTGGGATCTACAGACCAGGGCTCCCGTATGTCAGGTGATATCCCCAGGGTCCCACCCTCAGCTGGGCATGAAGGGGCTGTATGTGGGAAAAGGCACCCTCCCCATGGAGGTCATCCCTGGGGACCCCTGAGGCCCAGGAGTCACCTGAACCTGTGAGGGGACAGAGGGCTTGATGTGATCCACTCACTTGGTGACTTTCCTGCTGGACCCTCACGTTTCTGGTGGGCGGAGCTGGGTCATCTCTCTGTCCCCGAGCCGGGGGGAGGAGTGCAGTCGGAGTCTCAGCATTGAGTGAACCCACAAACATGAGGAGTAAATGACAAAGGCCTGAGTGAGTTGGGAAGCCACAGGATTACTGTAGTGCAGTTAATTTCAGATGTCTCATGCCAGGGCTATGCGGGTGTGAGTGATTCTGTGGCCTCAGGAGGCTGGCTGGCAGGCAGGGGTGACCCTCGAACAACTGACACGTGCTGAGCATGTCCCATGTGCCCGGTTCTGATGTGGATACGTGATACAGGTTCACTCACTTAATCCTCCCCTTTCCCCCCATAAGGTAGGTACTCTTACTGTCTCCATGTCCCAGGTCAGCAAACTACTGAGACAAAGAGATATCATGGGACATGCCCAGGGTCACAGAGCTGGTCATCAGCAGAGCTGGGGTATGAACTCAGGGCCCTGGCTTTAATTGCTGCTCTTCCGCTCTTGAGAGGGGCAGGCGAGGAAGTGGGGACAAAGGTGCAGTGTACTTCGTCATGGGGGGAGGAGAGGGGAGGCCCATCGGATGCTGGAAGGAGTCTGGGCTGCCCTGCCCCACGCTCAGCGGGGAGAAGAAATCCCGGGAGAGGGTCTAATCTGGGGAGGGGCAACAGGGTCTGCAAAGAACCAAAGTCAGTGGTCTTCATGATGCCAGGAGGAAAGTCTGGCTCGTGGCTGAGTCCACAGTGCCCAACAGCTGTTTGCTGAGACCTCAAGACTCTAACCTGGGTCCCCGTCCACCCGGTGGTGGGCCCCTGAGGAAGGAAGCGCTCAGTCCTACGAATGAAAAGCCTGTGATTGCTGCAGCTTCTAAATTTTTTTTTCTTTTTCCCAAACAAGCTTAAATACCTAACACTAACTGATTAAAAGTCAGTCAGTGACCTGGTGACTAAATGCAGTGTGGGACTATGGAACAGAGGGGAAAAGGACATTAGTGGAAAAGCTAGTGAAACCTGAGTCAAGCCTGTAGTTTAGTTAATAGCAGTGTACCCATGTTAAGGTCTTAGTTTTGACAACACTAAGTTTGACAGAACTAAGGTAAGGAGAGGCTGGGTGAAGGGTTTACAGGAACCCCTGTGCTCTCTCATCTTGGGAACTTTTCTGCATATTTAAAATTATTCCAAAATAAAAGGCATTAAAAAAATAAATGAGAGTAATGAGGCAGAAGTTCAGAATCGGGGTTTGTGGATAATAGTTGGATCATCCAGTTCATTTTTTATGCTTTGGTCAAAAAACCTGAGTGCCCCCTGAGAAGTGGCAGGTGTTCCAGCTCACCAGCTCGACCTCTCGCCACCTCACCAGCTCGACCTCTCCCCATTTGGAGGTGGTGGCAGGAGCTCTGTCGACAGAGCCAGGTTAAACCCACAGCACAGCTCCCATTTGTCTCGTCCCATGTGCTCCCCATTTAGAAATGAGACACCGGTGCTCGTCCGTAGAGCCCCAAAAGCTGTTCCCTGCAGCCTCAAGTCCAGTGCGGAGACCGCTGCTTCTCCATGGCTCACCCAGGGCCATGCGTCGCTCCGCATGGCCATGGTTGTCTCTCTTCCTTCCCTGGTAGGAGCTCAACCGGACGTGCCGCGCCATGCAGCAGCGGGTCCTGGAGCTCATCCCCCGCATTGCCAACGAGCAGCTTACCGAGGAGCTGCTCATCGTCAATGACAATCTCAACAACGTCTTCCTGCGCCACGAACGGTAGCCCCGCGTCTGGCCCGCCAACCCACCTTCTCCTCTGTTCACACCCTCTGACCTTTCATCTCCCTCAAACACCAGGCCAGCCACCCAGAGCACACTCTCAACTGTCTTCATCCAGCGCAGGCCACAGTGCCCACCCTCCCCCAGCCCCTTCTCTCCTGTCACCTCTGTGCCTGCATCCCGCCTCCGGGCTGGCGTCAGCGGTGGCTGAGCGCGTGCGCCCACAGCCACACAGGCCTGTGCTGCCCCTGCGCCCCCACCCCCACCCTGCCCCCAACCGCCTGGCTCTGGGGCCTTGGACAAGTGACGACTTAATTAGGGCTCCTTGACTGCAAACTCGGAAGCGCTTCTGGCTGACTTCAGCAGAAGAGTCATTAGGAGAACCGCCTTTGTTGAATGGGTAGCTTTCAGAGCCCAGAGAAGAGTAAAACAGTGAGCCCTCCCAAGGGGGCAGAAGGGCAGATTCCAGGGTGGCTCAAGGGTTTCAGGACAGTAATGCCTGGACCGTGATCCCAGGGTGTCACCCTGAATACATGGGCTCCAAACACTTGCCCACTTGGGGGGTATCATTCTGTCCAAGAGTCAGCACCCCGGGAGGCACTCCAATTGGCTCAGCTTCCTCGTGCCCACAGGAGTGGGAGGGGAGAGGCCCCCTTGATCCTGGCAGTCTCATCAGGGTCATGGGAAATGGGAAGCAGTTCCCCAGAGGAGCATGTAGGGGCTGGGCCTGCAGAGACGGCACACCGCCACTCTCCTGTCTGTACAGCGAAGCTATGATCCCTTGTAGGTACCCGACAGGCCGTGCAGTTATTCCTGTAAGGGCCTCGGCAGGCAGGCTGACTGCACAGGCTGCTAATTATGCCTGCTGCCTCCGGCTCCCAGTTCATTTCATATGTTTATCCATCAGCAGACACTTGCTCAGTGATTCTGAATCAGGTGAAGGGGATGGGGCTGCAACAGATAACATCCGCCCAGCCTTTCCTGCTCACTAGACCGGTGGAGCCAAGAGCCCCTGCCACTAGGGGTGTGGGCTGGGGGTGGCCCATGGGCCCAATCTCAAGGTGATCAGGACCCCTCTGACACCCACTCATCGGACCTCATGTTTGGTTGTTTCTGGTTTATAATCACTCCTCAGTGTCTTTGCTTGATCCTCACACCTGGGAGGCAGGTTGCACTGTCACCCCCTTGTTAATTGTTCAGAGGTGATGTAATTAAGCTGGGGTCACACAGTGAGGGACAGAACCAGGACACGAGCAGATCCCAGACTGAGGTCTTTAGCCCACCCAGCAGCAACTTGGCCTGTCTAGGGTGGTTTAAGTGTCTCCGTGAAGTAGTATAAGAGATACGTGTCCTCCTTAACACCACTTTAGACACTTACCACATACACAGAAGTATGTTACCAAACAAGGTCCAAAAAAATCCACACCTTTACTATGTGCGTGCACACCTTTTCCTTTTCCTCTCTAGTCTGTGCCTGTTGTTTGTTTAATGCTGGTTGTAGCTAAGGTAACTAGATAATTGGTCATCTAATTGGGACACTTGCTTGTGAAAGAGGCACCCTGCTAATACTCCCCTAGAGCATAAACTGGATCGTCCAGGGCAAACCTGACCAGTCATCACCCTGTTTGTGACCCATTTCGTGGGTTTTCGAGACCTGCAGTGGGCAAAGCTCTGGCCTGGCTGTGCTGAGGACCCTCTTAGTCTGTCTCCTTGACCCAGGTCTTTTCTGTCCCGTAGGTTTGAACGCCTCCGAACAGGCCAGACCACCAAGGTAAGAGGCAGCTTCTCCATATTAATGACAGGAAGGGCTGCGCCCACCTCCCTCCCCCGGTATCCTGGCTAGAATGTGTCTTTTTAGCCAGGCTCTTAAAGAAGGCTCCTTCTAAGTGTTTTTGTCCCTGACCCTTTAGGGTAAACAAGGTTCTGCCAGCAGCTGATGCCCCAGGGCTTTGTGAACCTCCCAGCAGGTCCAGCTGAGCTATAGGCCAAGGGGAGGAAGAAAGACTCCCTGACTCCCAGTCATAGCTGCTGGGGGTGAGGAGGGGAGGAGGGAGCCTAATGACCCACCCTCAGGCAAAGAATGCGGGTGCCAGTGCTTCAGGGAAGAAGGGAATGAGGCTGCAGCTCTGGCCAGAGGGTGATGGTGGCCTCTCCCCTCCCCACAGGCCCCAGGTGAGGCCGAGGCGGCCCCTGACCTGATCGACATGGGCCCTGACCCTGTAGCCGCCGGCAGCCTCTCGTCCCAGCTGGCAGAAATGAGTAAGTGCGGCGCTGGGGGCTCTGGCCGGGGCACGTCACATAGCATGGGCACCCCTGCAGCTCTTGGGGTGCCCTCTCATTACACAGCTGGAGCTGGAGTGCCCGCAGCAGAGTGTCAGCCCCCACTTCCCCTGGGTCCCCTGCTAAATCTTGCTGCACAGCTGGGACAAATCATGGGGGACTCTCCCTCGCAGTCCCACAGCTGCTGAGCCTGCTTAGACCTGAGAAACCCCACTGTTGTGTGATTGCCCGTGGATCATCTGGTGAACTTGGACACGTCACGTGGACACCCTGTGCCCCTTTTCTCCTGAATAAGCTTATGTACAGAGCGGGCTTAGACCAGGCCAGGCCCAGGATGGGCTCCTGGTACACGTCAGCCATCAGCACTGTCACTTAATCTGTTATCGGCTGCCTCCTCAGAAGTAACTGAGAGAGAGGAGGTGAGGTGTCCGGTGTCCCTCAGCCAGCAGGTGGCCTGTCCCATCCGTATGCCCCACCCTGCCCCCACTCCAAGTTGCCCAGCTTCTCCAGAACCAACCTGGGCCTGGCAGGAAGCAGCTCAGCCACGATTCAGTGTCCAAGGACAGCCAGGCAGACCCTTCATGCGGTCTTTCTGTCCCCACAGACCTGGGCTCCAGCAGCGTGAGGGCTGGCCTGCAGTCTCTGGAGGCCTCTGGCCGACTGGAAGACGAGTTTGACATGTTTGCGCTAACACGGGGCAGCTCACTGGCTGACCAACGCAAAGAGTAAGTGCTGAAGCCCACCCTGGGCCCCTGCAGTTTGGGTCACCTGCTGTCAGCAGGGGCCTCTCTCCAGGTCCTGAGCTCGCTGTGTGGGTGGGCACACCAGCCCCACCTGCACCCCTTCAGGATGGCAGAGTTCTTCCCCCCAAGTTAGCCCTACACAGCCTGGGGTGGGTAATGGAGGGACGCCCATCGGGTGATGACCAGCTTGGTCCCAGAATCTTACACAAGCCGAGCAGATGAGGAAACAGCGGCTCTCAGCAGCTGGTCATTTGCCCCAGCTCAGTCTGCTAATGTTTGACAGCATTGGGAACCCCAGACTGTCTGGTTCTGAAACAGCGTCTCCAACCCAGCCCAGCTCCCTACTGCACTGTACACCGTGTACCAAGCCCTCGGGGCTGGTCCAGTGCTTTCTGCTGTTCTGTAACCAGCCTTAATTTCCAGAGAAGTTGCATTATCCCACTCAAGTCTGCCTACCCTGCCCTCGAGCTGGGGCTCTATGCTTCCCAGGACTGTCCATTTTCAGGGAGATGCTTTTCGGCAGCGGAGGCCACGTGGCCAAGTGTCCACCAGGCCAGCTTCCCAGGACCGGCTCCATACAGGCTGGTCAGGGGACAGGGTTTGCTTGGGGCTGTTATCAGCCTTTTGCTTGTAACCCCGGGGCAACCAGGATGGACTAAGGGGACCTCTAGGCAGGCTCCATTCTGGCCCCCTTGGGGACTGTTGAGGGGCCTCCAGAGGGCCCAGGGTCCCCCATCCACACTGGCCAGTGAAACCTGACGGGCTGTAGCCAGCCTGGCTCATAGGGCTGCTCACAGCCCCACCCCCTGGCCGACCAGCCCTGCACTGTGAGCCGAACCCGGGAGTCTGGGGCGGAGTCTGTCTTACCAAGCCCAGGTGCTCTGGGCCCAGCGGCTCACGGTCACCTTGGAGGTATGGGCGCGGTTAGGCTGCTGTGTGACTGGAGGCTAATGAGTCTGGTGGGACTTGCCGCCAGAAGGCTGCCCGCCTGAGAGCCCCAGCCTGGCTGAGGTTTGCCACTGTACTGTCCCTACTCTGGGGAGCCCTGAAGGCCAGAGAAAAGCACCCTGAGCTTGCTTTCAAGGGCCTGCAGTCTCTTGGGGGTGGGAGGTAGCCTGCCTGTGGATCACTGCATGCAGTGCTAGGCTGTGGATCAGCTCATGCAAAGGGTCAGAGGCAGGGGTAGCGTGAGACACCCAGTTTTCTGGCTGGCCCCAGCACCCTTGTGTGGTGAGCCGTGTGACAGGGTTAACTCATCGATTCCCATGCCCTCCTGGTTACCTCCATTCTTCAGAGAGTCTGCCTGAGAATTTGGGGGTTTATTCTAGAGGCCCCTTTAAGTGCCAGCCTACCCAGTCCCCAGGGAGGCAGGTTGGCACTATCAGAGCTACGTGTGCTGTGCTTGCGCTGGCCCAGCCCAGCTCCAGCAGTGTGAGGTGCTCCCCACCTGCCCCGTCTGGAGGAAGACCCCTCCTCCCTAACGGTGCAGGGCCTTCCTTTGAGGCTGGAATCCCAAGAGTCTCATGTGACCCAGGGACTTCCTGATGGTCCAGTGATTGACTCCACACTTCCAATGCAGAGGGCACAGGTTTTTTGACGCGTTGTCAGGAAACTAGATCCCACATATCACGGCATGACCACCAGAAAAAAAAAAGGACTGACCCAGTCTCACCTTCTCTCTGCCGGCAGTTCAGGGCAAGAATGACAGCTCTTCCCAAGCAGCAGGGCCATGTCCCCAAGGCCTCCCTGGATGCCCTCCCTGTAGCAGCCAGAGAGACACCAGCCCCCTTGTTAGCACGGACTTTCCTCCCGCTCCCCCTGAGCCTTCACTGGAGACACAGCAGACACCTCCCTCCCCGTCCTCCTCTGCCCACTGTACCCACTGAGGGTACAATGTCCCCTGCATTTCCTCCCAGTCGCCACGGCTGACACCCCCGAGTACATGCAGAATCCTCACCCACCGTCTGCAGGTTTGTTTTCAGCTGCAGAGTGGGGTTCCCCCATTCACACGCAGCCTTCACAGAACCACAGATTCTGAAATTATGCAGTGGGGGCTGCTCTGGAGAGGGTCTAGATACGATCTCTCCATGACCATGGGGTCTGGGACGCTGTGCTCATCCCTGTAGTGTGGCCAGATTCAGGAATAGGAGGTTGGTGATCTTGGTCTCTGACCCCCAACACCTTCCCTTGCTTCTCCAGCCTTGCTCTGCCTGTCATGCAGGTCACATGTTCCCAGGTTCCAAAGGCAGGAAAGGAGACTCTTTCCTCCATCCCCAGGCAGGCCTGCAGATTGGTGCCCCTCCGGGGACCCCTGCCTATTCACCTCCCAAGTCCACAGAGGATGTGGGTGCAGCCCTTGCCCACCCAACCCCCTCCCTCCTCACGTTGGCTGGCATGTCTGGTACAGTGAGGGTGGCAGGTAATGGCCACGGTGGCCTCTGTATTTCAGGGTAAAATATGAAGCCCCTCAAGCAACAGATGGCCTGGCTGGAGCCCTGGATGCCCGGCAGCAAAGCACTGGAGCGGTAAGCAGCGGGGCCCTGCAGCCACCCTGGGGCCTGTCCAGAGGAAGGCTGGGCAGTGCTTGCCTGGTGGTGCCCTTGGTTTATGACAGGAGTCATGAGAGAGTGGATGGGAGGGGCTTGGCACTGACTTGGATCTAAGCTAGTATTCAGCCTCGCTGCCCCTCTAGAGACCTGTTATCTGCAGGCATGTGGACAGAGAGGGGCTGGAGGACAGACCCTGAAACCACAGGGAGGCGCCCAAAGGCCCCGCTTTTATTCCATGTAACTGCTGGCGTGTGTGGCGTGAAAGTCACTTGCCACAGTGAGCACACTCTGCCAGCCACTTGCCCGCTTGTCAGGAGCTCCAAGGACAGCTTCTATGCCTTTGAATCTGTTTCTGGATGCCTTTTAGGCAGAGAAAGGTGGTTAGGACATTCAGGACCCGGGCACCAGAGAGGCAGGTGCAGTGAACAGCAGGGCCAAGGAGAGGGTTGGTCACAGCACAGGGCTTCAGAGTGCAGGTGGGACTGGGCCCTGGGAGGTGAAGCCTGAGGGGCAACTGGGAGGACTGGCTTCTCCTGCCTGAGGTGGGAGCCCTGGGCAGTCTGGAGCAAGGGTTGAAAGGGGGACGTTTATCTGGCTTCATTTTAGGAGGACCCAGCCTGGAAGCTGGGAGAGCAGTCAGGAGGCTGTGGAAGCTGTCCTGTCCTCTGGAGTGGGGAGGGGGGCGCAGGAGATGCAGGTGGGGTTCCCAGATGCATCCCCAGTGTCCCAGGAGTCATTGCCAAGTCAGAACAGGGCAGGACCAGTGAGTGGCTCAGATGCCCCCTTAGGTGTGTTGTAGATCTGCCACCACGCGGAGTGCCCCGAGTCTCAGAACCTCCCACCTGCACCCTGTGTCCCCTGCTGAGTGAGCATTCTGTGTCCTCCACCTACTAAGTCATCACACAAACCCTGAAGGTGTCCCCTTTGCAGATGAGAAAGCCAGGCCTCAGAGAGGGGTGAGTGAAACCGCAGATCTCACATCCTCCGCACAGTACCTGGCATGTAGTGAAACGTTTTAACTTCATAGCACTGCAGTGTGGTCGTCCTCACTTACAGAGGAGACACCAGGGCTTAGAATTAAGGTCGTTTGCCCACGATCTCACAGCTGTTGGTCTGTCCAGCATGGAAACCAGTGCTGGTAATGAGAGCCCCAGATGACTTGCAGGACTCCACAGAGCAGGGTTGGTCCCATGCTCAACCTTCCTTTCCCATGGGCCATCACTCTGGCCCCAAGAATCCAGATGAGTCCGGACAGTTGGGGAGCACTTCCCTCCCCCGCCACCTGGTCTCCCATGGACAGAGACTGACCTCACAGCACTGTGCCTTCCTGTTGTAGAACTGGGGTGATGGGGGACAGATGTCACCCGCTAGGGGCACAGAGCAGCTCAGGGACTTGACGAGCACTGGGACGAGGTCTCCTGGCTGCTGCCCCACCTGCCATCAGCCTTGGGGCGGAAACACACACACCTCTGCCTACAGAAAAGCAGATGCTGACAAGTTTATCTTTGATGACTTGAGAGATTTAAGTGAATTCCACCAATCAGGTTATAACTTCCTCCAAAGGAAATCATGAATCAGGTCATAAACATCTGCTCCTGAGATGCTCAGATCTGGCTGAGGGCTAAGGCTTTCTCCCTCTCAGCTGTCAAAACATGATTTGACAAAACATGTCAAAACAGGCAGCGAAGTACAGAAAAGAATCAAGTGCCAACCCTATAGGTGATCGGCTGCTGTTTGCCCCCAGGGGTTGATGAATCCTGGGAGGATGCTGGATGGTCTGTGCCAGGCCCCAGGCTGGGTCTGTCTGACTTGGGAAGACGATCATGGGGTGATGGGCCAGGAGCCAGGACCCTAGGCTTCCTCCACCATCCGTCTGCTCTGGAGCCCTGGGCATCTCCTGTTTGCCCATTGACAAACATGAGGGGAAACAGGTACAGCAGTGCTCCTGACACTGGGTGCCCGTCAGAAACCCCTGAGAGCCAGTGGGGGGCTGCCTACTCCATCCTAGGATTGCTCAGCACACCCCCGGGACCTGTGGGGTGAAAGTAGGGAGGGAGGCTTTGCCCCACTCGTCCAGGACTCTGGGGTCCCCACGGGGAGACACCTTTCCTGTTCCCTTTGCCCAGCCACCACATCTACACAAACATGGGCGTGTGTACACACACACACACACACATATACATACATACATACACACATACATACATATACAGGCTCTTGAGGCAGTAGCATTCCTGTGCTGGAAGAGGCTGCCAGTACACCAGTGGCCTGGCCTCCCCACCACCCTCAGCGCGACCCTCTCTCACCCAGATGGGAGGCGGCAATGAGAAGAGCCTCAGTGACTGGATGGTGAGACAAGGCATGGTGAGGAGGGGCCAGGCGCGCTCGCAGGGGGCCTGCCTAGGTGGTGCCGGCATCACAAGAGGAGCGTGGGGTCGGCCGAGGGCCTGCGGGCCCCACCCGGCACCCAGCACAGTCCCGCTCCCTCTGCTGTTGCTTCCACGGCCCCTCGGTGCTGCCTCGGAGCAAGGCCTGGGCAGTGCCTCTGGCAGCTGGGGGGTGCCCAGGGCGCGTCTGGGTCTGGGCCGAGTGCCGGCAGAGGGAGCTGGAGGGTGCAGCCCAGAGAACCTGCTGCTGCTGCTGGTGCTGCTGGGAAGTCAGCTCTGCCACTTCTCTGGTGCCCCCGCCCCCTCCGCGGTCTCGGTGCTGAGGACGGAGCTTGGGGCCTGGGCTGGCTTTGGCTGGAGAAGGACTCGCTCTCCCTGTTTCTCAGAGTAGCTGAGGGGTAGCTCGCATTTCCCGAGCGTCTGCCCTGTGCCGGGCGCGGTGCTGCCCTCTTTACCTCCCTCGTCCCTTTAATCCTCACAGCGACCTGGGCTTGGACGGTAGGTACTGTCATCCTGTCTAACGGCAGACAGCCGTGAGGGTGAGAGGAGCTAAGTCACCTGCTCCAAGTGCAGGGGCCCAGCCAGCTTCCGGTCTCTCTGACCCCGGAGTCTGGCCCATAACCTCTGGATTCTTCAGACGTTTTTCAAGGGGGAAGAGCCCACACCAGCCCTCAGCCCCGCCCTGTGCAGGGCTGTGTGGCAGTCACAGTGACACATCGCCTCTGCATCCACTAGCCTGGCCTCCTCTGGTTGTCTCGGCCCCTGCCTCCTCACTGGCCCTCCCCTGCCCACTTCCCCCAGGATCTCTGAGTCTGCGGAGGCTTGTGGGGACAGCCCGCGGCCATGCCCCTGCCGCAGCCTTGCTGGCTGGCTGCCCACTCCCTGGGCTTAGAATAACCTCGTGTCAGCTGTTAGGAGCCCCTGTCCATCCCCTGCTTGGCCTGCTGGCCCGCATCCCCCTCGCCCACAGGCTGGCACAACGGGCAGAACTCGGGGAGACCTCAGAGTCCCAGGGAGCTGGGCCGGCGCCGTCTTGGAGGGACTGCCCTGAGGGGGCCGGGCAGGTCAACTGGCCCTGTCCCAGGAGTGAGGGGCTCGGGCTGGGTGCCTCCCCCGGGGCCAGAGCTGGTGAGGGGCCCTGCCCTCCCGCCTCACCCCTGCCCTCCCCTCCAGATCCCTGTCACCCAGGCCTGCCTCATGGAGGACATCGAGAAGTGGCTGTCCACGGACGTGGTGAGTGGGGCCCACTCCTCCCCACCTCACCTGGGGCCCCCATTTTCCCATGAGGAAGTGACCGGTGGGGGGGCAGGGGAGCAGAGTTAGTGTCCTCTCCCCTGCCGCTTCCCCAGTACTTCGCCTTGGGGGGGCCCAGCGCACTCCTCGCAGCCTCTGGGGCCTCCCCTTGCCCGAGACTGCTGCTCACGTGAAGGCCCACTGTGGGCAAGACAGGCCAGCCGAGGGCAGCAGGGACGTGAGAGCTCTGAGCTCAGCACCTGCGGTAGCTCGGGGAGTGGTGCCCAGAGGGAGCCGCACTATGCAGAGCGGAGACTGATGGGCAGCTGTCAGGGGTGCTGTGCCAGGAGATGGGGGCCCGGCCTCCTCCAGAGTCCCCAGTGTGCAGGAGGGGCAGTCAGTCCAGGCCCCCTTCCAGGTTTCTTCCCCAGCCTCTGCCAGCCCACCCCCTATTCTGAGCACCCAAGGACCAAGTGCCTGGGCACTTCCTGGCTCCAAGGCCGCCTTCTGCAAGTGGCCGAGACCGTCTTTCTGCCCAGGGTCCATCTGTTCTGCCTCGTGGGTGAAGGCTCACCCCCTGCCCGGCCCCTCATTAAGCATGTGTAGCTGACACAGGCTTGAGTGTCAGCCTCTCCACTATGGGCAAGTCTTCCCATCCCTTTGGACACTGGAAGGGCAGGAACTAGTGCCCTCAAGGGCACCACACACTGCATCTGGCACTTTTCCAGAAGTCCTCTGCTTTAGCTTGCCAACAACCCCATGAGTGTCCCCAGGCAGAGAATTGAGGCTCGGAGGAGTCAAGTGCCACCCAAGGCCCTGTGGCTCAGAAAGTGGTGGGGCCGAGGTCTGGACCCTCTGGGTCAGCAGCTGAGCCACGCCCCGCCGTACCCGCAGCTAACCTCCCTCCTTCTGCCTTGTCAGGGGAATGACGTGGAGGAGCCCAAAGGCGTCACCAGTGAAGGTAGTAGACCCTGGCCCTGCCCACCCTTCCCCAGCTCTGGCCTCAGAGCCCAGCCCCAGCCTCCCTCTCGTTGCTCTAGAATTTGACAAGTTCCTGGAAGAACGTGCCAAAGTGGCCGATCGTTTGCCCAACCTCTCCAGTCCCTCCACCGAGGGGCCCCCAGGCCCCCCACCTGGCAGTGCCCCGAGAAAGAAGACCCAGGAGAAAGAAGACGACATGCTGTTTGCCTTATGAGTGTGGGGCCTGGCGTCCTGCTGCCCAAGCCCCGGCTGCTCCCACATCCCGTGGCGGGGACCTGTCCCTCCTTTGGTGTTAAGGCTGCTTGGGTGTGGCTTGTCACATGTGTCCTTCTCTTCACCTTGAGGTTGGGGCCGTGCTGCCTGGGAGTGTGGGAGGCAGCTGGATGAACTAGGGGAGTGAGTCAGTTCTACTTTGGGGCCCTGGACACTCATGCCTCCCCTCCCACCCCCACCAACCACTGCGACTTTGCTGAGGACAGTAAGGCCCCGGGCTGGAGAGGCTGGTCGCTTGGTGGCCCAACGTGACTCCCCTTGTCCTGGGTGATCCCCTCCCGGGACCCGCCCCCAGAGGAGCCCTCTTCAGAGCCCACAGGGCCTGTCGAAGCCTGGCCAGAGGCTAGAGACAGCAGAAGTCTGTCGCAGCTTCAGGCCCATTCCCCAGTGCCTGCCTTGGAGCCTGAAGGGTTGGCCAGCTGTTAAAGGCAGGACCTGTGGCTCTCTACTGAGAGCGCACTGTCCAGATAAGCTGCATGTGATGGGGGGAGACCTCACCAGCCCCAGGCCACCAGGGGACTTCCGGCGATGCCTGTGGCTCCTGGGACCCCTGTGACCTCCACTGCCTTGCCCTCCTTCTTCTGTTCCTCCCTTGCAGGGCTCCGCCGGGCACTGGGCCCCCCACCTGTCAGTTGATCCTCTTGACTGGGAGAGGTGCCTTTCGTATCCCCAATAAAGGTAGAAGAGCACCCTACTAGGTGTGTTCAGTCTCCAGCAGGAAGCTACTTGGCCTCACCAGGGGCAGGGGCTCGGCTGGGCTGGGCTGGGCTGGGCTGAGGGCCGCCCACGAGACCGACATCTGCAGATGGGGTAGGTGCCATGGCAGGACTGGGCACCCCGCCACACCTCGCACCAGCACAGGCTCCGCCCCTCGTTTGCTGCCAGGCGGCCCCATTACTGTCTGCATCCTCAGGCCAGCCCCTGCCCAGCAACTGGAGCTCTGTGATCCCAGAGATGGAACAGGTGTGGGTGTGGCGGGGCACTGAGCCTGCAGGGAGGACGGAGCCATCCTGTCCAAGGCCCCGGTGCCAGGCTCTCCGTGAGCTCATGGCATCAAATCCACAACCCTGGGTGGAGCAAAGTTGCATCTCCATTTTCAGAGGCTGAGTCTCTGAGTCAGTGAGTCCTGTGAGCCACCCCAGATGCACTTGTTTATCAAGTGCTGGGCACTTCCTCATGCACATCAGCACATCATCCCCATTTTTCAGATGGCAACACTGAGGCTCAGTGTGGAGGCCTTGGCACATGGCTCAGGAGCTGGGCCACAGGTCAGGTGCTGGTGTCAGCTCTCATCTCCGTGGCAGCTCAGGTGCCCTGGTCTCAGAGTACAGCCTTTTCCGGTCTGGAATCTTCACACCAGGCTCCCCGAGAGTCACTGCTTGAGGCACGTGGGAGCCCCCACCCAGCAGCCCCTCAGTGGTGGAAGGGAAGGGGGCTGGTGTGGAGCTGGAACAGTTGACCTGCCTGAAAGGTCAGCCCGTGGAGGAGAGCAGAAGTCGGAATGCCTGGGCCTGGGGCCTCAGCAGCCCCCATCTCCCAAGAGCAGCAAGTGGGCTGTGTGTTCTGAGGCGTGGCCTGGGGCCAGGCGTCAGGAGGCCAGGCCCACCCCGCACTCCATGAGGAGCTGGGGCCAGGGGAGTAGCTGCAAAGCAGGTACATGGGACCAAAGGCTTGCCCATCCCCCAGGCAGGGAGGAGGGGGCTCATCATCCAGGGGAAAGACGGCTGAATGTGACCTCTGACCTGTCTCCCCAACCTGAACCACCTTTCTCTCCCCGCAGCCCCCTGGGGAGCAGCTGTGTCCCTGTCCCTGGGCAACCAGTGTCAGCCTGGTCTGATAACTTTTTAGGAGATGCAGGCGCCCGCCCTTCAGTCACACCAAGCTTATCTGGTCTGAAGGTTCCCTCCTGCATCCTGCATAAATCAGCTGTGTCCGCCCAGGTAGGGGGGAAGGCTCTGGTTCTCACAAGATGAATATTAAGCGTCTCCCGGACGCGGTCCAGCCATGCCTGGCTGCTTGGCAGTGACCCCCGTGCCAGCCCTGCCCGAGGATGGTCAGACAGAATGGGGGAGCAGCCCGAGTCGGTGTTCCATGCTGTCCCACGGTCCCCAGCACCTCTCCATCTCCTCCTGCCTCAGGTCACATGGAGGTGGCCGGGTGCTGGGGACCGCAGCCTGGCTCACTAGGCTGCCAGCCCCCGCCAGCACTCAGGACAGCAGACGCCTTCCAGAGACCCCTTCCTGGGCTGTTCTGGCCAGTGGTCAGCAGCAGGGCCCCAGACCTCCAGCCTCTGGGGTTGTAGCTGAATTCTCTGTGGGAGAAGCCCCAAAGCACCTGCGTTTTGTGACCATCTTTTTCATAATACCCACGTGTATCATGAGGTTGGGAGCCTCTGGTGGTCAGATAAAAGGGCTGTGGTGATAATAGGTGGGTTACCCCCACCCTTGGCCTGGCTGGACGGCTGCCAGGCACGCTGACACAGACGGTGGGGCAAGCTACGTGCTGAGCTCCGGCAGGTGTCGCGCCTGCTCACTGAGCCTCCAGGCCTCTGACCCGGGTCCCCCGGAGACTGGGGCTCCTTCCCTGCAGCCCCCCAGCTCTCGCCACCCCACATTCCTGCTGTGCCCCCCCACCCCCGCCTGGGCCTTTCCACACCTCACCACGGTCCTGTGGAGTCAGTGAGCCAGGCGGGAAGGGTGGGACCCGGTGCTCTGGGCGCTGTTGCCTCTGCTCCTCTCTGCCCCCTGCTCCTCCAGGTGAGTGACGGCGAGCCCGGAAACCCTCAGTGCGGGCTCCAGGGGCTCATGGCCTGTGCATGGCTAAAGTCGCCTGTTCCTTCCTGCGTGTGGGTACCCCCAGAGCGCCCGTGGCGCACCAGATGTGGTTCTGTGTACTGAGAACCCAGAGGCAAATGTGCCAGGCCCAGTGGGCCCCATGGGAGGGCGGGGGACAGTAGACACAGGTGTAAGTTCCACACGAACCACCTGCTCTGACGTGAAGAAAGTAGAGGCTGATGCCAAGGAACAGAGCCTGGAGGTCAGACAGGGCCCAAGGCCAGTGAGGTGGGGCCTGCCACAGACAGCCCGGCCTCAAAGGTGTCCAGGCTTCCCCTGGAGGGGGCAGCACGGGGCAGCCCCGCCGTACGGGCTCCTCCAGAGAGACGGCGTCGGGCTGGGATGGGTGAGGGAACCCGGGCAGAAGCCGCCAGCGCTGGTGTTTGAGGCCACAGGCCCCAGGTCAGTCGCAGCAGCAGGAGGCCACGGGACCCCACTTACAGGAGGACCAACTGCAGGTGGGGGCAGGACCCTCTGGGCACCAGCGGCTCCTGCTGGGTTCAGCTGCCTCAGAAATGGTGCCCAGCCAGGGGCCTGGGCAGGTTGAGTGGAGCCAGGTAGGTGGGTAGGGAGGGCGGAAGTGCGGACCAGAGCTGCCTTCAAAGCCCCCTGGCAGAGCCTCCACTCCCTCACAGGGCTGTTACAAGGGTTAATAAGAGGTCACAAGGGTTCTAAGAGGACCGGTAGCCTAACACCTGGCAAGGAAATACTCCAGCACGTCGTCATGGATGGTACCACCTGCATCCAGAATGGCCTCTGCATCAGACACTCAGCCAGGCGCACTGCCCTGCAAATCCTGGGTGATTTCAGAGACCCCAGCTCAGCCTCCAGTATTGCCTTTCCAGCTCTCAAGGGTGCTGGCTGCCTCCTGGACAACCTGGGTTCCCACACAGGGCCCTCGTGCCGAGTCTGAGCTGCTGCCCGAGTGGGGCCATGCTGCCTTGATCCCAGCAGCGGGAGAGAAGCAGGGTCTGCCTGCTGGTCTTGGGTGGTCCTGCTGGATGACCCCCTGGGGTGGTCACCGCGGGCACTTGGGAAAGCCCTCCCCCCACCCCATCCCCGCCCCCACACCCCGCCATCTGCAGGGGTGACTGGCTCAGGACGGTGTCCCACAGCAACCACAAGGTGGCAGGAGTGCTCCGTGTCCCAGGGCCACTGGGGCCAGCGCCTCCAAGAGGAGGGACCCGCAAAAGGGAGCCCTGGGTGGGCAACACGGAGCCGTGGCCCTCTGAGCTCCCCAAAGCTGCAAGTGCCTCCCATGAAGTTACAGCGTGCACTCATTCCTGTGGGGACGCTCAGTGGACACAGCGTGTGGATCCATGTGTATTTCTAGTTCTACCTGTATATGCAGGATAGCACAAGTGTATACAGTCACAACCCAACACCACAGATCCCCTCCAGTTTTTCGTTCCCTGTGCCCTCCCCCTTTAACTGCAGAGCCTGGTTCCCGCTGCCCTTCATGTACAGACCTATTTGCTCAGGCTCATGGGTAACCAATCACTCTCTGCCCCCACCAGCCCAGCCTTGAAGGTGTCCTCACCATCCTTCGGTCCCGACATCTCTGGATGGACCACCAGAACCCCTGCTCAGACCCCATCCTACCTGGGGCCACTGCAGCACAGTCCCACCCCGAGGCTGCTGCCTGCCTTGCCTGGTACTGTCTAATGACTGGACCAATTACTCAGGACGGAAGAGGAAGAGGGGATTTCACTTTAAGAAGCATGGTCAGGGGCTTCCCTGGCAGTCTAGTGGTTAAGACTCCCTGCTTCCACTGCAAGGGGCTTGGGTTTGATCCTGGGTTGGGAGCTAAGATCCTGCCTGCCACTCAGAACAGCCAAAAAGGTTAAAAAAAAAAAAAAAAAGATGGTCAGAGAAACCCTCTCCAAGGTAATGTGTGAGTCCCATTGTCCCCGCAAACTATCCAAAGGTTTTGACAAATCTAGAATGTATACCTCCAAACTACAATTGCCTACCTCTTACATCACAAAACACAAAAATCCTTAATGCATGTGATAGGACTGCCATAACAGGGTTCCACAGACTGGGGGCTTAAACAGCACAAGTGTTTTATCTCATAGTTCCAGGCCGTGGGGGTTACAGTGCCAGC